TCTTTCAGGATTTGAAATAGCTCAACTGGAATTCCATCACTTCCATCAGCTTTGTTTGTAGTGATGCTTTCTAAGGCCCACTTGACTTCACATTCCAGGATGTCTGGCTCTAGGTGAGTGATCACACCATCGTGATTATCTGGGTCATGAAGATCTTTTTTGTACAGTTCTTCTGTGTATTCTTGCCATCTCTTCTTAATATCTTCTGCTTCTGTTAGGTCCATACAATTTCTGTCCTTTATCGATCCCATCTTTGCATGAAATGTTCCCTTGGTATCTCTAATTTTCTTGAAGAGATCTCTAGTCTTTCTTGGTATATACTAAATTACCCAGCAAAAGCTAGATGCCACTGGAAGCCCTTATCTTCTGGGGACCTGAGATTTTTAAATGAAGTCTCTTATGGTGATACATAAAAATATTTTACTTTCAATCTTATGTTAAAAGGGAATGTAGATTTTAAAGAACAAGAGACACAGAGTTTAAACTCCTGATTTTCTGGTGGTCCTTAAATTCTTGAACTTTTAGCCATTTCTTGAAATTTCTTTCCATCACTAGTAGTTTTTAATTTCACTGACTACACATTGAAATTAGCCTACATTCTAGAATAACACAGAAAGTTATCTTGGAATTCTTCTTGTTTATCCGATTTCAGTTCTCACAAGATGCAAGACAATGTTGTTACTTGAATATTCCTCATTTCCATCATCTTTGTGTCATTCCAGTTAGCCCGAAAGAATTACTTTCCATAATAATATGTATATGCCTCTTTTATCTACCTCAAGAATAACATATACACACAGGAAGAAGGATATGGAATAGACAAGATAACTTTCTCCAGCGTCTTTATGTTTGAGCCTGCTTCAGTGAGCACCATAATTAAAACTTCCTACTGGCTTTCATTTTTCAATTATGCAAATCTAAAAAGAAAATTTGCCAATGGGCTCAAACATTATCTCCATAAAAGGTGATATTTTGAGGGATAAGATGGATATGATTTGTTTTCATTTTGGAAATATGAATGAGAAAATCTATATAATTTTTCTCTAAGTTATATAATAATTTAAAACTATTTCCATTCATGAGCCTTTTATGTCACATGTAGGAATCACTTTCCAGAATAGGAAACTCCTATAATATGAAAAGCATGCATGTCAAAAATAAAGTTAATGGTATTAATACTTGGGAAATTTAGCTTAGAATGAGACCACAAAAATTTTCTGCGTTTTATAAAATATATGCTTACAGGTATATATTTTTTAAAGCATACTTTATAAATACCACCATCATTAAAACTAATATATATGCCCCCAAAGGAGGGGAAACACATCTGCCTCCTTTTCCTGCCTTGACCTTTGAAAAGGAATTTCTCTCTCAAAGATTACATTTAAGACCAAGTATATAATATGGCTCAGTTGGTAAAGAATCTGTCTGCAATACAGGAGACCTGGGTTCAATTCCTGGGTCAGGAAGATCCCCTGGAGAAAGAAATGGCAATCCACTCTAGTATTCTTGCCTGGAGAATCCCATGGACAGGGGAGCCCAGAAGGCTACAGTTCATCACAAGAGTCGGACACAATTTGTGACTAAACCACCACCACATAAAATCATTATTTTGTTTTAATTTATCTTGAAGTGACTGCTGAAAATAACAGAAAAAGTCAAAAATCCAAGTTGAATTAGTTTTGATGCAGCTACATTTAGAAATCACTCAATTTGAATCCCTTAGTTCATTTACTGGAAACATCTATCTCTTTCTATTTATCCTAGGTAAAGATGAATATGATGGTATGTTTGTCTCCAAGAAGTTTACCACTTTTTAAGAAGACAAATATGTAAGCATAACATTATAATCCAATGTGCTAAAGTATAATGTAAATACAAGTATGAACAGGAGTGCAGAGAAGTAAGTGATTAGCAGATATAGAAGATTATCTCTTTTTTTCGAAGGAAAGGAAATGTATTAATAGATTAATGTATTTACCAGATTCCAAATAAAACTGAAGAAATGAAAGGGTTCCTTTTTTATTTTTTGAAAAAATTGTACTGGAGTATAGCTGCTTTACAGTGAAAAAGGAAAGGATTTTAATTTGATTTACTGTCCAATTCAACTATAATGTTACATTTTGATTATAACGGTTTAATTAAAATAGAAAGTTACAGAACATCTACCTAGGTAAGTGCAACTCAGTAATTCCTGCATATTCTTATTGAGATTTCTCTCAGTTCTTACCTGACTTCATTTAGCCTTTGGTGTTCTTGCCACCACACTTGCTTGTGTTGCTTTATTAGTGTTTGTTCTTTAGATAACTTTGAAGTCTGCACTGTTTTTCTGATCTAGATTCAGAGTAACAAAAGAGAAGCAATTCTGATGTTTTTTAAGTGTTTCCAAAATAAAAATGTTGAATTTTTATTTTCTAAGTTAAATACTTTCTCTTTCTCAATCCTATTCATGCATTTTCTAACACTAGCATCTTTCTAAAGAAAGGTATTTTCCTTTCTTTAGAAAGGAAAAAAATCTATTTTCCACACATACAATAAATAATACCTTATTCATCTCACTCAAGGAAAACTTGCATGAATATTCTATATATTTTCTTGCCTTTTTATACATCTTCCCTACCAAGCATCATAATATCATTATTCTTATTTTACAGATGAGGACTCTGAAGTTCAAGTAAGTTAAAAAACTTGGTCAAGACCATCAAGGTCGTAAATATCAGAATCACATAGAACCTTGGTGTTTGGTCAACCCTTCAGCACAGGATGGGAAAAAAGTCATTGGATAAGTTATTAGGAGGACTGGCCTTAGTTTCAGCATCTACTAGAAATATGACCTTGAATTGTATGTACAATTTTAATCTTTTGACTCCATGACTTTGTAAATAAAGTTTTTTAAAACTTCAGGCAAATCTTTATTTGAAGGTATTAAACAAGGAAATAGTGAAAAAGAGCACTGAAACCCAAATTTTCAAATCAATTTAAATTTTTCCAAATTTTATGACTTTTCAAAAAAAAAATGTAGTACATAATTCATGCTTTGGGGTTTCTGCTAATAAGCTATGTCAGGCTTGGGTCTGTTTGCCTTAAGATCCATTCTTGGCCAGCTCCCTCATCTGCTCCACATCAGAGAGCAGCCTGTGTTTCTCAGACACCCCTGAAACTGCCTTCCAGCTGGGTTCAGCCAAAGGGATACACTGGTAGTGGGTGATTGGAGGGAGGGAGGAAAGGCGAGCCAAAGGATTATTCACTCCTCTCTACTCTCAGAGGAGTCTCCAGAAGCATCTGCATTTTCTCCATTGCACCAACATTTCCTGACAGTTCTACCCTGGTTCCAGCTATCTCTGGGTAATCGCAGCCTATGGGGTGTGCTACAACCTTGCTTTTGCTAAATGGCCCTCCAACCCAGGCAAGAGAATGACCTCCTTCTGCTGTAATCCCTATATTGGTTCACAGCCCTTTGGCTTCTCAGCTCCATCACCTGCGTAACTATTTCCTGCATTAACAACCCCCCTATTCTAAATCCTTGAGTATTTGTCTGTCTCATGGTTAGACTCTGACTGACACTGAACTTGTGTATTTATATATGCTGAACTTGTGTATTTCATATCAATACTTTAAAATATCTATAAAAGTGCTCATCTCAAATCAGAAACTCAATGAAATATGCATATTTTATATTTTCACTGCTACTAGAATACTCAGTACTCTGAAAGCTTTAAGAGATCAATACTGAAGATATAAAAACTTCAGAAGAGAAACTCTAAAAAGACTCTGTATAATGCATGCTATTTCTAGCTGTCATTCACTGATTATTATAACCTTGAGTTTATCTTTCTGCTTTTCTGGTTACTGATTCAAAATTAGGAGTATAAGAAAACAAAATAACCCAAGCATCATTTTAAAAAACACAAAGTCAAATCTTAAGAGTGCTACAATTATGAAATTTTGGAGAAAAGTATATTTAAATCAGAACAGGTCATTGCAGAAATACACACAGCCATCTCTATTTCACTGAAAAAATAAAAGTACATATGTAGTGTTTCTAAATTCAGACACTCTTGTGTTTGCTTGAAGAATGCCTAAAACTCATTCCAACTATTTGCCATCTATATTCTCTGGAGTTTGTTGCATCAGGCAAAACTTTAAAAATTAGATTTCTTTGACATATTTGGTCCATATTGTAAAAAAAATTAAAACACATTGGTGAAAGATGTAGACAGATTTTTATAGCTTAAAAAAATCAATGCTGTTGCCTGTGGACCCAGGGAAAGACCAATTAGGTAGACTATAAAAGTCAAAATAAAGCTACTATTTTTCACTAGACACTTCCAATATTTTGTAGAACATCCTGACTTCTTTGTAAATTCACTCACTGACTCTCCTTCTATCCTCAGGCCAAAAAACTTTTTTTAAAAAAAGAAAAGTTTTTAAAAAATAAAATGATTTAATGTTGTATCTTTATCAATAGAGTAATTTCTAGATGATTCCAGTTCAGTTTGCTGAAAAATAAGCCATCTGAAGTCAATATTTAAGGTAGATGATTATTTATGCAGAATGCTGATGAATTAAAAATTATAAAAGTAATACATTCATTAAAACATCAGAAAGTAGAGGTTTTCTTTGCAGTTTACTGTGATGAGCCAAGATAATAAAACCCTAAATGCTGGGGCTAAGTCACTTCAGTCGTGTCTGACCCTGTGCAACCCCGTAGATGGCAGCCCACCAGGCTCCTCCGTCCCTGGGATTCTCCAGGCAAGAATACTGGAGTGGGCTGCCATTTCCTTCTCCAATTACTGCATGCATGCTAAGTCACTTCAGTCATGTCTGACTCTGTGCGACCCCATGGACAGCAGCCCACCAGGCTCCTCTGTCCATGGGATTCTCCAGGCAAGAGTACTGGAGTGGGTTGCCATTTCCATCTCCCCAAACCCTAAATAGGCACCTAAAAGTCCTATGGGCCAGATGACCCATCTTTAGGTAGAAGCAGCAGTAATTAGTAGACAATTTAAGTGCTGGCTACATATGCCTGTGTCAAAATTCACTGACTTGTACACTTTAGATTTGTGTACTTCACTATATGTGAGTGATAACTCAATGAAAACTGTCAAAATTAAAAATTACACTAAGATGTCATTCCTCGTCTAACATCACATTGGCAAAAATTCAAATGTTCAACAAAACACTATGATGTGAGGCTATGGGAAAACATGCTCTCTCTTACATTGCAAGTAGGAATGCAAAATGATGCAAACTCCCATAGAAGGGAATTTGGAGTTTCACATGGATCTACCCTTTGACCGAGGAATCATACCTATACTATCTACCTGAAAACTATATTGGCCAAAGTATAAAAAGATAAATAAACTAAGCTATCCATTGCAGCACTGTTTGTAATGAAAAAAGACAAGCACAGAGATTCTGTCAATGTGTTCTTACCAAAATAAATTGAACTTGAATTTCATCAAGTCTCTGCAAATAACTACCAATCACTGGAAATACAAGACATAGGAAAATATGTTTAATGACACTACCAGGATATAATCAGCAAAATCCAGACTATAAGAAACTATAAAGGACAAATATTATAATTTCTTCAAAAACTAAATTATAAGAATATAAGAGGATGGAGGAGGAAACCTTACAAAAGTAAATATCAATTACAATATATAGATATTATTTAGATGCTAATTTGAAAAAATGTGAAAAAATTAGAGAAAATCAGAGAGATTTAACATCAATTATTTGAAATTATTAAGAAATCATTAACATTTTAATACTCATAGTATTATAGGGTTTGGGATTTTATAGCCCTAATCTTTTAAAGATACCTACTGAAATAATTATGGTGAATATTATAATATCTGAGATTTGATTCAAAATAATCTGTTATAAAGGGAAATTGTAGATGAGAGTACAGCGGAAACAATGGTCAAGAGTTGTTAATAGTTTAACGGGGATAATATCATGTGGCGATTAATAACTCCATTCACTCTAATGTTGCAGTTGTCCATATTGTAACATATTTTACAACTGTAATTTTATTCTTGCAATTGTCCATATAGTAATGTTTTTAAAAACAAGAAATAGTAGATGGATTACTTGAGCTAGACAAGAAGAAATATTCATTCTTGCTAAGCAAAGAAATTCAAATAAAGATAATTGTAAATATCTCTTTTGTACTTAAATTGGGAATGAAGAGTTAACATTTAATTTACCAAAAATTGGTCTTGATTTTCTGCCCATCTCTACTCTTTGGCTTCAGGTCTCAGCCTTTGAAAGACTAGATTACTCAATGTGAGCACTGGCATCTTATCTAGCATACCATAACTTGTGCATGATCAATAACATAGCAATTATATAGGTCACTATCACATTAAATCAGTATAACAATGTCAGCAAATCAGGGAAGTCTCCTGAATTTACTGTTAGTTAAAAATACTTATTGTTAACTGCTTTTCAAATATAGGTAAGCATTCTAGATGTAAGTTGAAGCAAAAATCTTATGTCCATTAAATGTTAACATTCTATCATTCAGGTTAAGTATGTTTACATTTAATATTGCCACAGTAAAGTACTGTAGTAACTAACAATGATCATTAAAGCTGTTAATTTCATGTGCAAAAAATAAGCACATTCAATTAGTAAAAAAAAATGGGAACTGTCTGATAATTAATATAAATATTAAGAGAGAATGTTAACTATTTAACACTAAGAAGAATAAAATATAATTTTTTAGCCAACATATTTTACAAAAAGTTAAATAATAATATAAGAAAGGATAACAGAGACAGTGTTATCATAATTCTAGCTGGTGTAGGTTATTTGATATATTAACATTCATAACATTAAACAAAATAAATCTGAAGAATTATTTTTAATTTTCCATTATCTAACTCCATCTAGGCCATGAGTCTTTCAAGAAAAGTCCTATTTGGGAATTCTTCACATCCTTAGAAGAAGAAATTAAAAGCAAAATGTCAACTTGATATCTCTAAATTAAATGAGAAAGGAAGGATCCAAAAATCATGAAAACAACATTCCCAATACATCTTCCTTATAAAATAAAAAAAAAAGTGAAATTTGTAGAAAGGAAAGAAGACTGTTAGAAAATGATGAGGTATCCAGGACACATTTTGTTCTCACTGGTGAAAATTCAAAACAATAGATTTTATAAAAATGCTTTAAATGGACAATTCTTTATTATGATGAATCTATGGATACCTAAAAATGAAAGCAAAAAAAGCTTTCCAATATGATTGCTACAGACACTTTCAGTACTGAACCATATTTGGTAGTTTAAAGCAAGAGATTTCTTTGAGATTTGCCAAGCTATGAATCCCGGATAACAAGTTTTTTCTATAAAATATGTAACTAAAAAGCGTCTTCGTAAATTATATTCTGTGAACAAAAAGGTACTTGATGTTATTTAAAATATTGATTGTGGATGGTTATTTGTTTAACCTCACAAATGAATAACACAATAACCAGAGAAGCAGCTAGTTAGCTGACAGTACTAGGAAATTATTATCCCTGTATTTAGTGCCAAACTTTAAAAATCACCTTAATAATTTAAAAATGTTTATTCTTTGATAGCAATTCTATCCTCAAAGAGAAATCCACTTTGACCAAATATTGATTTTTAACATTCAGTCATTCCCCATTCAAATATGGGGAATCATCCAAAATATGGGGAATCATCCAAAATACGTATCTGGTTTTACACAGACATTCTTCAAGCAGATGGTCAGCACCCCTAACCCTTGCAATGCTCAAGAGTCAACTGTACATTTTCCAATACTGAAAAGGGCATAGATAAAATGTTTGCAGTGACATATTTGTTACAATAGTACTTTGGGAGAGAACTAATAAACATTCATACTTTTTGGCCCAGACATCTCAGTCATGGGAATTTATCCACATAAGGTGTCTATGCATAAAGATATTTATGGAAATATTATTTTCAATATCAAAAACTGGATACAAGGTAAATATCCAACAATTGGGATGTGATAAAGTAAGCATCTTTTTCTTCTTGGAGTAGTTATCACTCCTGTTTTGTTGGCTAATACTTATTGTCCTTGGGATCCCAATTCAATGTCACTTCCTTAGAAAAGCCTTCCTTTCCACCCAATTAGTATCAAGTTCTGTTATTGTACATCAGACATTTCTTTTGTTTGTTTTTTGGGGGGGTGAATTTAGTTTATACTTAGTATGGGCTTGCTAGGTGACATCAGTGGTAAAGAACCCTCCTGCCAGTGCCGGAGACTTAAGAGACCCAGGTTCAATCTGCTGGTTGGGAAGGTCCTCTGGAGGAGGGCATGGCAACGCACTCCAGTATTCTAGCTGGGAGAATCCCATGGACAGAGGAACCTGGCAGGCTATAATCCGTAGGGTCATAAAGTGTCAGACATGACTGAAGCAACTTAGCATATACGCAGGCACATTCTTAGTACTACTAATTTCATTTCAGGGCTTATTTGATAAATACTCGCTTCTATTCTTCCTCTCTCCTGAAAATATTACACCCCATGAGGGTAGGTGTTGTATTATGCTCACCACTGTACATTCAAGGCACACAGTAAATATTTATTATATGTATAAGTGTGTACAATGGTAGATATACAATGGATTAGCACACAAGTCAGAAATATGAAAATGGCTTATTAGAATGATAGTCATATAAGAGATTTTCCCATAAATTCTCTTTGAACGTCCTGATAACATTAAATTATTTTAAAGTTGTATCTGAAACAGATAATGCCCAACATTTTAAGTGGTCTCCTTAGTTTGAGGGGACATAGCTCATGAATATATGGTAATTTCTCCAGAATAGGGTAACAAATGCGCCTTGAAATCATGACAGTTGCCTTTTCAAAAAGATATTAACAATAAAAAGCAATGCAAAGCTAATATAGCACAAAATATTAAATACACACAAAAGTTTGTAAATTGCTTGGTGTGTTGCTTCACCCACCCAAATTTTTGGATGCAACCAAGCAATGGAAATGCTACTTATAAAGTATTCTATTATTTGGATAAGAGGGAAATATATTGCATGAGTGATCCTAAACTCATCCATGGTCCTAAAATATTGTGCACAATCACTTGGAATGTTAACCTCTTTCAAATCTAGTTGAGGTTCACCTTTTCTTAGATCAAGGCAAAAAGAGAATTCTAGAAAAGAGACACCTGGGGGCATATTTTGTGCTGCAGAAAGAGCTGTAAATTAGATGATAAGCCATGGCTAGCACTTATTAGCATTTTTAAATTTTTTAGACTATGTTAGAAATTGTTGAAAGCTAATGAAATAGCTATCTTTCTAAAAATAAAGTTGAATTCAGGCTTCATGGGATTGTTACAAACATTAAATGAGTCATGCATGTAAGCTACACAGCACAAGGTCTGAGAGTATTCAATAAATGTCCCCATTCACTATTACCAATAGTTGGAAGGTTCTAAAAACTACTTAGAATGTTATTTATTTTCACATTTCATTGTAAATATCATTTTACTTCCCAGCAATTCAATTTTCCAAAACTATTAGTAGAAAACACACATACACGACTCTAACCTTTAGCTCTGTAGAGGCAGAAGCTAACTTTTTTGCTTCAGTTAATGCATGCAATTGTTGGTAGTCTACTGGTTTATACTTGGTGCTTCTGATTTCATTTTTCATATGAAATATCAGATTATCTGTTTTTCATCAAAAACAGAAAATGACAAAGAAACAGGGTTATGTTATTGGAAGTCAAAATAGAGTTTTGGCAACATGTTGACTACTAGTCTTATTTTTAAACATTTTAAAGCAAATATAAGAAGTAATATATTATAATATTCATAGTATATTTGAAATTCTATTTCTAGAAATTTAAAAAATATTACCACTATATTCCTTGAACAAAATTACTTCTAAAAGAACATAAAAGGAATACTTTCATTTGTTAATATATTGAGGATTTTAGAAAATTATATTGTCAAGTTACAAAGTGTGATCATTTTTTTAATTTACAATGTGTTAGTCATTAACCATTAAGTATTTAAGTATCATGTTCATATGAATCAAATTAAGTAAATATAACTTTTAAAGTCATAGTTGCATTTTTAACCTAGAAAAATTGATTCAATTAAATACAAAAGAGGTTGAAACTGATAGCTAAGAAATTTAATAGGCCAGATAAGATAAAAATGACATAAAATGTGTGGGCAGGCATTCTCCATCCAACTATAAAAAATGTCCTAGTTTAGCTTGATATTAACTATTTTGATAAAATAAAATATAAGTAGAGGATAGACAAGGCTATGGTTTTTCCAATAGTCATGTATGGGTGTGAGAGTTGGACTGTGAAGAAAGCTGAGTGCCGAAAAATTGATGCTTTTGAACTGTGGTGCTGGAGAAGATTCTTGAGAGTCCCTTGGACTCTCCAACCAGTCCATCCTAAAGGAGATCAGTCCTGGGTGTTCATTGGAAGGTCTGTTGTTGAAGCTGAAACTCCAATACTTTGGCCACCTGATGCAAAGAGCTGACTCACTTGAAAAGACCCTGATGCTGGGAAAGATTGAAGGCAGGAGGAGAAGGGGACGACAGAGGTTGAGGTGGTTGGAAGGTATCACCGACTCAATGGACATGAATTTGAGTAAACTCCGGGAGTTGGTGATGGACAGGGAGGCCTGGTATGCTGTGGTTCATGGGGTCACAAAGAGTCAGACACGCCTGAGTGACTGAACTGAACTGAACCCCAAGGCCAAGAAACATGAAGTATAAAAATTTGAGTAATTCAAGCAATATTACCTCAATGATGTGAAAAATTCACCTGTGCAATGTAAAGCAACTAAGATTTATTAAGTATATCATGGGTCACAAGACAGTAAGAAGGCTCCAAACAACTTAAGGCCAAGCACAGTGAAGGAAAGAATGACTGGTCTGATTATTGTGAAGAAACCGAAGAAATTTTCACTATGTCCAAAAAAATGAACCTTCCATTATTAAAATGTTGAAGATCAACATTCCAGTTTTATATCACCCATAATCTACCATAAACCATAAAATAAGCTTAGAAGTAGGAAAAATACCTGAGCTATCATTTTTCTGAATCGTCATGAATAGTTGGTCTCTTTTATTCATGTTTTCCATACCTGTCAAGGAAACAAAAGAGAGCTAAAATTTTACAATGTTATTTTAAAACCTGTTTTAAAGAAATGTTCACTGTAGTGATTGTTGAAATCAAGTTCCAGGACTGGGTACCATAACTCTTTGTATTTTATTAAAATTTGTTTCTCTTTGCTCCTAGAAGCCTCCTCCCATTAGTTTTTTCCTCTTTGTGCTTTTCCTGGTCTTGGTTTTTCTTCTTCCAATCTCTTACCTCTCTCAGATTGTCCCAGAGACTGGTAAATATTTCATGATTTAAAAATTGTGTATGTTTTTTATCTTGAGTTCTCTGGAGGAAAGCAAGCACATAAATTACAAAATAAAGCAGCTAGACAAATTACTTACTACTTCTCTTCAGCAACATGGGGATATGTCATCCACTTCTAGAGAGCATTTGATGCTTAGCTGTCACCTCCTCCAGGGTTGGACTCAGCTGCAGACAAAGACCTCGCCAAGAGACACATCATTCCTGAAGCAACCCATACCCAAAGACAGAGTAAGGCAAGGAGGTAAGGCAAGCCCAACAGTTTGGGCTTAATGCAGGTCACTCTGATGGGTAATATTTGCTCCAGGGTCCTCTTTGGGGTTGACCCAGACTTTGTTGAACCTGCATGAAAACTGACTTTTTCTTTTGCCCAAGCTTGCTTCCTCCTTTCTTTCACAGGTATGCATCCCTGATAAATATCTAGCACCCCAAACTCTGTTTCAGCATCTCTTTCCTAAGAACCCAACCTGCAATAGCACTGAACGGAACCAACATCTTTTTATGGTACATCCAGGGCAAGATACTAGTCAAGTTGTTCCTCAAGAGACAGTACACATTTTTCATACATTTTTGTTTACTATCTACTAGGTTGAATTACCCGTGTCTAGTGGTCTTTGCAGTAATGTAAATCTTCTTAAATGGAAGAGAAATTAGCAAAAATCCATATTTTCAGAGACTCTGCCAAGTTACCAAGAATCATGATGATTGCTCAACAGTTTTAGGGGTAAGCCTCAATGTGTAATTTCTGTAGGGTCTCTGTTAAATAATTCTTTTTTTAAGTCTTTCATAAATTGACAACCCTCCTTACTGACTGGTGTTTACTCACACACATATCCTATCAATTAAGAGTCTTCTTTGTTCTAGAAGACTTTGCACATCCAATCTACCTGCATGGTCTCAGGCACCCATCACCTGGATAACAGCAGCATTCCACTTTGTACCCTTACAGTGCATCCTCCACACAACAGCCCAAGTAACCTTTTAAAAGCTCAAATCTGACCTTGCTTGAACCCCTTCAATGGTACCTATACCCTTTGAAATAGTATCCCAACTTCTTTAAATGATCTATAAGGTCCTGCATAATCTTGCCCTTGGTCATCTCTCTACCCACATTTTAATCACACCAGTCATTCTCTTTCTCAGACCTACCTAGTTCATTCTGCTTCAAGGTCATCCCACTTGTGGTTCTCTCTGTCTTAAAGACATTTCCTTCTTCTTTTTGCCTGTTTTGTTCCTTCTCAACCTTCAGCTTGACCAACATGTCACCTCTTCAGAGAGATCTTACCAGACTTTTCCATTTAAATAAGGAAGGACCCTTCTTTCTCTCTCATTCGATTCTCTTCATTTCCAGGATAATTTGTATTAGTCTTTACATTTTCATGCTTACTGATCTGATATCTGTCTCCCTCCATGCTTGTTTTATTTCTGATTGCATCCCCAGTCCCTGGCACAGAGTAGTAAGTGCTCAATATCTATTATTTGAGGAAATGAATAAAAGGTAGCTGGTGGTAGCTAGATATCTTCTAACTCCTCAAAAGAACTGAAACAACAATTCCTAAATTCACACTATAGCCTCACTCTCCTAATAATAACCTTGCAATTTTTAAAAAGGTGCTTTGATGTATAACCAACAGAGAAGAATGACAAGCTTAAATACCCTCAGGGCCATCCAGTTAGTTAAATGAGAGATGTGGGAAGATATACAACCATATGGAGTGCAGAAAACATGGAAAATTGATAAGTATTCCATGCCCAAAGATAATCAAATATGCATTTTTTTTCTTTTTCTAAAAACAAGTACTAAACAAATAAAGCAAACTCCAAAACAAATTTGTTCTTTTATTCAGCAGCCAGTTCCTGAGCTCTGGTCTACTCCTTTTCACATCTAGTTTTCATTTCATTCTCCCATGCATAATCAAACAGTAAAAGTTTGCATCTCCATCCAAGAAAGACCTCACCAGTTCCCTGACTGGTTTTAGTTTTCCCTCCTTGGGGAGTTGAGCACTCCCCAAAGATTTAGGATTGATTTCCTTGGGATTAAGATTATAAGATTGAGGCTCTAAAATAAGATGGGGTTTTGCAGATTTCATTTCGGTTACCTTGCATGCATACTCAGTCGCTTTAGTCGTGTCTGACTCTTTGCAACTCTTTTGGACTGTAGCCCACCAGGCTCTTCTGTCCATAGGATTCTCCAGGCAAGAATACTGGAGTGGGTCATGCCCTTCTCCAGTTCAGTTACGTTGGTCTGCCCCTATTTAATCTGTTCCTCCTGGTTTTCAGAGGAACATCATGAAAGCCACACCATGTTTCTCACCATTTCTACATAAGGAAGCAGAATTTGCCACCCTAAAATATGTCTCCTTAGAATAGTATTTTAAACTGGTCATTTTCTAGGAAACAGCAGACACAGAAAACACTCTAGGGGCTCACATTAACGTTTTTTAATGATAGGACCACTTGGCTGCTATATTCGTTCTTTCACTTGGAACAGAAGGTATCATTAATCATATAGAGGCTTTAACAAAATTTATGTAGCAGCTTAAAATAACAATAATCGGGCCAATAGCTTGCTCAAGTTGGAAGTCTCCGTGACTAAATTGGGGTTCTATAGAATTCAATGCATGGCCCTCAAGAGTCTAACTGCTTCCCAGTGGGAAATTTGAACTATAATACACACTGAGTTAATGAGTTCTGGCTTTTTATACATGAAGTGTCTTCTGATGTAACTCGTCTTAACACACACATGTGAAGAATCAAATTTCTGCTCTGAATGATCCTCCTCCTAGTTTAGGGAAAATACTAGGAAAATGGTTTGGTTTAGGAAAATCTTGGCTTAAATCTTTACTAATGGCATTGTTACTCCAACAATTTTGATTACAATTTGTGTGCTTATGCCATTTCCACTTTATGCTTACTAGTGAATGTGTGAAAAATTCAAAGTGGCAACTTCAGCCCATAGTTAAAATGCTTTGGGCTGACTAATGGCTACTTGAATTTTCCACGTAAAATTTTCCATGTTAAATAATTTAAGAACACTTAGTTTTAGATATTATTCCATGTTCACATTATGCGACATTTTAGAAATTGCTTATAGTGTTGTCAAAATGTTAAGTCTCTTAGATCTACCTGATTCCTGAAAACATTTTAAAATAATATACTTTCATGAGAAATTTACTATTCTGTAAGAAGAACATGTTGATATATAATATAATGATAGCCCTGTAGTTGCTAGAGGGCTGAAAAAAACATTTTGATATAATGTTAATTTTATCAGATATGATACAGAATCTAAACTTTAAAAAAAAAATTCACAACTTCAACTAGTCTCTACAGGGTAAGTGAACAATCAGGAGTTTTCTAGAGATGAGAACAAAATAGCCAAGAGACCATTTGTACAATAAGGCAATCTTCTACAGTGTTAAAATTTGTATTCTGTGACAGATATTGAACCTGGGCCCCCTGCATTGAGTGCCATCTTAGCTACTGGACCACCAGAAAGGCCCCATATTCTCTTTTAAATTCTAAGCTGAATGAGGCAAGTTTGGGGCAGTAGGATTATATTTGATTTTGATTTTTTCTTTTTGCTTGAGCAGTTTCTAAATTTTTCTCTTTTTAACAGATGAAAAACACATTTTAAAAAATACTAAGCAGGAACAAATAGTTTTTTTACTGTATTGGGGGAAATGCTACTGCAGTTTTCACATTTTCCAGTTTAAAAAGAAACAATTTCATGACACCAAGGAACCTTTAAAATGTGAACTTGTATATAGCAATATAGTTTTCCACTCTAATACTGAATTGAATTACTTCTTACTAACCTTTTTTTATTAAAAGACAAGATATATTAAGTACATTTGTAGAAGTTCACAGAGCTTGAAAACATTAGCATTAAAATATTTACAAGGTTGTAGTTTAAGTCTCTATAAAGTGTTAGCTGCTCAGTCATGTCTGACTCTTTCCGACCTGATGGACTATAGCCTGCAAGGCTCCTCTGTCCATGGGAGAGGCAAGAACACCAGATTCTCCAGGCAAGAATTCTAGAGTGGGTAGCCATTCCCTTCTCCAGGGGATCTTCCCAACCCAGGGATCGAACCCAGGTGTCCTGCACTGCAGGCAGATTCTTTACCATCAGAGTCACTAGGGGAGGCTTAATTCTCTAGAGGGAATAAATACATATATTAAGCTTTTTTTTTAACTATAAAAGTATTGGTTAAATAGCATCAAACTGTATAGAAAACTATAGGGTAAATAGTTTCCAGCACTTGTATTTAGCCCTAATAGTCATTTTTAATGTTTTGTTTTATAGTCTTTGAAAGACTTTTTTATGCATATAGAAGTACACATCCAGTTTTATACAAATGCAAGCATGATATATTTACAATTCAAAAGTTGCTTTTGTTTTTTCCTTCTTCTTCTTCTTTTTTTTAACTACACCACATGGCTTGTGGGATCTTAGTTTCCTGACCAGGAATTGAACTTGGGCCCTTGGCAGTGAGAGCACAGATTTCTAACCACTGGATTGACAGGGAATTCCTACAAGTTGCTTTTCATTTAATAAACTGATTATCTTTCTATATCACATTATTTATCTGTCCATGTTTATATATATACTTATCTTTAATGGCTATTAAATGACATACAGGTATGTCATATATATGTTACTATCATCATCATTATTAATATATATATATAATTTAACTAGTACAAGAATCCATGAAAGAA